CTGAGCTAAATCCCCAGCCCCTTAAAATAAACTATATTGTGGCATATTTGAGGTTTATAACATGATCTTATGGGAGACATACAGATAGTAAAACACTTACTAGTAATCCCTTCACCTCCTATATATTCATAGCTAAGTTTTCCTCAAGCTATGCTAATCTATCAAGTAATCTACTGATTTTGTTCTTCCTTGGAAACCCTCTCCCAGAGCATTTTCTCCAGCCCCAGCCTGGATGCTGCCTCTCTTGTCTGCTGCGTGGCTGCTGCTGTGACACTGCTTCCCCTTCCCTTCCTCAGTGTGCTAAGAGCTGCATTTCCTGGGTTGCATTTTTCTTCTCCTTTCTCCTTTATTTTCCCCTTCAACATGCAGAAGCACATCCTTCAGGAACTAAGAATCAGATGCAGATGACATACAATTTTTACATGTCTAAACATGCTTTCATTCTACGTGCACTGTTTGATGATATTTGGCTGTAGGTTGTTGTAGATTAGATTTCCTTTACATATTGATGATGTTGCTTCATTCTGAGTGCTTTTAAGAATTTCTCTACTGTCCTAATGTTCTGAAATCTCCCACTGGTGTCAAGCTTAATCACGCCAGTTATCGCTATTATGCCAGACTCCTGGCATAATCTTTTAATTTAAAACCTATGTCCTTCGGTTCTAGGAAACATCCTTCTTTCATAGGTGAGTTCTTCCCCTTCATTATCTCTGTTCTCTTTCTGGAGTCATTATTAACTATTGGGCCTCCCAGACTGATTGTCTAACTTCCCTATCTTTCTTTCTCCAGTAATCTATTTCTTTGTCTTTTTTCCCTACTTTTGGAGTATGCTCCAATTTTATCTTTCAATAATGCTTTTAATATCTGTCTTTCTGCTGTCATATTGTAATTTCCCAGAATTCTTGTTCCCTCGGTGTTCTCTTTACTTAAACTCCACTTGTTCCATGAAAGCAGCATCTTCTCTGGATTCTCCAGGACCTGGTGGCATACTTCGTGTTTTGCTCTATGAACTGTTTCCCATGATGCTGTGTTGATTATTTCCTTGTTTCTGTGTCCGTTATGTTAGAGGCTTTCTTCAATGTTTAGTGATTATTCCTGCCTAACTTAATAAGGAGACGCAAAAATGCTACCTGGAAGCTCTATCTGTATGGGCAGCGCATGTCGACCAGAATAGCTGTGTTGTACAAAGTGACGAGGCAGACACGGGCACTTAAGTGGAGATCTCCGAAATGCTAATATCTATAGATGCTTCTTTTTGGACGCATTAATTTCTCCACACAGAAATCTTCCAATCTATTGTCTGAGGGTAGAATCCTGGCTACCTGTGTCCTGAGATCCAGCCAGAATAACACCTATTCAGTAAGGCGACTTTCATTGAAACCTTTGAGTTTGAGCCTTCTGTCGGGGTGACAACAAGCCAGGGTGGAAAGGGGGCTCTTTATAAAGACTTTCAGCCCATCTTGTTTCCAGTTGTGTCCTCAGATTCTAGCTTTGTAAACAACTGGATGCGTTTGACTTTAAACATTTCAAAATTTCTGCAGCATGAATCTGCAGCATAAGTCAGTCAGCTTCTTATTGTCCCCTACTCATCCCAACTTTCTGCAGTCCCTCAATGACTTGACCTCTTCCTTTCTAGCTTCCAAAATCTTATTTTCATCCTTTGTGTGCAGTTGCTCCTCTCCTTGTTATTCAGGCAAAGCTTTCACGAATCCTTCACAGCAGTTTTGTTGGAATTTTAAAAGGAGCAGAAAGCAAACGTACACACTCAATCCGGCATGTGAGTCAAAGTCTACCCACCATCACTTTGAAATCAACTTCTGCCCCTACCTTTCCTCTTCCACTCCTCTGTTGACCCTGTTATCTCAAAGGTCACCTGTATCTATTAAGTTACTAGTTCAAGTTCACTTCTGTTCAGCTTTCAGCTTCCTTGACACTTAGACAACAATCACTAGATTTCCTCACCCTCAACACCCTTACTGGCCAGGGATACAGCTCGTTGGCACAAGGGCTTGCCTGGCAAGCGCAAGGTCCTGAGTTTGATTCTTGGTGTCTGCCCCCACACAAAAGCCCTTATCTTTCATATTTCCTGACCTTGGTCTCATGATAATTTTGTTCTTTTACCTGAGCTTTTGTTCTCTAATCCTTCTCACAATCCTTGTCATACTCTGGTCTCTCTTCTCTTTCAGCACATTCTCTGTACAATCTCATCTACATACATGGCTTCCATTACTATCTTCATATGATGACTCCCAGATTTCTATCTCTACCTTCTATAATTTGATGACTACCTGCTGAACTGAACCTTTCAATTCAAGGTCAAGGAGATAGAGACTAAATGTTCTTGGATTGGGAAGTTGGGTAGTCACTGGGTCAGACAATAGTTATTTGTCCCCTCCTCTAATCTGACAGTGCCTTATCAGTGCTAACTCATGGAAAAAATTACACCCCATTCCAGGTATCTGTGTATCTGACGTGTCTCCGCTTTTGGATTTCTGGTTGTCCAAGGGCAGACACCTGTCTGATATGTGTGCATCACCAACAGCAGCACCAAAATGCATCTGCAAGTTATTTTTAACTTTTAAGTACACATACCATATAACTCAATGAGTTTTCTCAGTGAACACATCCATGTAAACAACACCCGACTCAAGAAATAGAACATCACCAGCATTCTAGAAAGTTTCCCATGGCCTCTTCCAGTCCCTGGCTTCCCCCATAAACCAACTTAGACTTTTAACAGTGTAGGTTAATTTTTCCTTGCTTTCTGTTTGCCTGCTTTGCTCTGTATAAATGCATGATATATATTCTTTTTTTTATTATTTTACTCAACACCTTACTACATTTGTGAGATCCATGTGTAATGCTGCACATAGCTGTAGATCAGTGCTACACAGTGAGTTCAAGGTCAGCCAGAACTACAAAGCAAGACCCCGTCTCAAAAATAAAACAATAACAAAAAAATTAAAACCCTACTTGAGATGCCATTACTCACCCAGGTTGGCTGGAATAAAAAAAGAACAAGAAGCATAAAAAGAAAGGAAAGAGAAAACTGTCAAGTGTTGGAGAGGACCTGGAGCTACTGGAACTCTGTAAGCCCACTTGTGAAAGTATAAACTGGCATAACCACTTCAGAAAACTGGCAGAATCTACTGAGGTGGGACAGATGTATAACCTTTCGCCTTGCTATTCCACTTTTAAACACATACCCAACAGGAATCCACACATACATTTACTATATAAATGAATGATATGTATTCGTTTTCGTATTATTTTACTCAACATCTTACTACATTTGTGAGAGCCATGTGTAATGTCTCACATAGTTGTAGATCAGTTGCTTTCTTTGCTGTACAGGATAACTAGTTATCTATTCTCCTGTTGATGAGTATGTGGGTGGCTTCTCGGGTGGTGCTACTAAAATCCTCCTTTGAACACTGCAGTATTTACTTCGCTGTCTTAATCTAACAGTTTACAGTGAATGTCTGCCAGATGTGGTCTCCTTCAAAAGACAGCCATACCTTTTCTTCACCGTGTGAATTTTAGAAGCAGTTTGCCAACTTCAACAGAAAACCTGCTGAGATTTTTACTGGCACTGCACTGCGTCTATAGATGTACCTAGGGGAAACTGGCATCTTTAAAATATTGAATCTTTTGATCCATTGGCTTTTATATCCCTGCATTTATTTATAACCTTTCTAACTTCTTGCGATCATGGTATATAGTTTTTCATACAGAACTGTTGTATATTTTTTGTTAAATTTACCCCTAGGCATTTGATGGTTTTATTTGGTTTGGGGCTTTTTCTTTCTTTCTTTTTTATTTTTATATTTATTTAGTTAGTTATTGAAGCAGGGTGTCACTTGTAGTTCAGGGTGGCTTTGAACTAGCTTATGTCACCCAGGCTGGCCTCAAACTCACCTCAATCCTCCTGCCTCAGGCTCCTGAGTGCTGGGCTTTCAGGCGTGCACCACCACACCCAGCTCTTTCCCCTTTCTTTCTTTCTTTTTTCTTTCTTTCTTTCTTCTTTTCTTTCTCTTTCTTTCTTTCTAGTGCTAGAGATTGAACCAGGGGCTTTCCATATGCAAAGCACAGACTCTACCTCTGAGCTATACCCTAACCTGTTGATGTTTTTTTAACCTGTTGATCCATTTGTAAATGACTAACTTTTTAAGTTATTCAACTAATCAGTGCTAATAAGATTCAGACCTTGAAAACCAGCCCCTACCATTCCTTATTGTTTTACATTCAAAACCTTTGTTACCTACTCAGCCACTGTAGAGGTCTGAGTTTGTGACAGTAGTCTATCACCTTTTGTTGTTTGAGAAATGTTGTTTATTTCACTTTACAATTATGTTTTATTTTGTGTATATAAGGGCAAAGTCCTTTAAATTCTTTCTCTTTTTTTTTTTTTTTTTTAAGTACCAGAGGTCAAACTCACTACCTTGTGCTTGCCAGGCAGGCGCTTATGCCACTGAGCTATATCCCCAGCCCCCTTTAAATTCTTTTTTAAAACATCCTTTAAAAACCAGCTCAAATGTTTTTCTCTAGGAAATATTTGCCAATTCTCCAGTGCTTACCCCACTGCTACCTTAGTTTCACTTACCCCAGCACCTATCTGGTTATATTCTGATTGACAATTTTTATCTTTCTTCTCTTCAATCCAGGACATCTGAAAAGCGGAGACTGATCATTCCCTGTGATATTCCCAGTGCACAGTTCATAGAGGCTCAACAGGTGTGTATCAAGTCAATGAAGGAATGAATGAGAGACTGGTGAAAATTAGGCCGAATTGCTATGTGCTTACCACAGTCTCAGAGAATTTAACCACAGGACCTAGATAATACACATTTTCCCCTGACACTTCAAGAATGACATGTTGTCACACCCAAGCAGGACATTATACATAAACCTCAACAGCCTCATCAGACTGCTCACAAATATACCATGGTCTTACCAAGTTTCTTGTTCACATCACTTTGGGATTTCCTCGTACTCTTGTCAATGTCATCCACAAGCCTCTGGCTTTCTGCCACTAGGCGTTCTGATCGGGACCTTTGGGCTTCTGCCCTGTGGTACTGGTTCTTGTTAGCAATGTGCCACTCCGCGGGCAAGAACTTGGGAGGAGGTTGTAGTAGTTTGGCCATTCGAAATTTCCAAAGTCCTGACCAAAAGCAGACTTTGTTTAGATTACATGAATGCAATTCCTTTTTATTACTATTAGAGTGTGATATTCATACAAAAAGTGCACAAATCATAATCGGTACACAAAATGGACACACCTGTGTAGCCAAGCCTATCCCCAGTCACTAGTTGTCACCCCAGCCCCACAGTGACCATTAACCTGACCTTTAATATTACAGATTTGTCCTTCCAGTTTTGAACTTAATATAAATGGAATCACACACTATGTATTCTTTTATATGACTTCTTTCATTTGTCATTATGCTTATAATATTATAAGCAGAATATATATGAATATAGTGAATATATATGAATATACTGAATATTCATATATAACTATTATGAATATAGTGAATATGCATTAATATTTATCATAAAAAGTGTACTATAATTTCTAGGTTAGACGACTATAAGGTACTGATAACATAATCTCCAGGGTAAAATATGGAATTATAAAAAGACAATAGAGAATAAAAGTTAAGAGAGAATAAATTAAAAAAAGATTGGTTGTAATGAACAGCACAATTTCATAAATTCAAACACAATATACTTTTATAATTGAACAAAAACAAGTGAAGTGTTTCTGGTAAAAATTTCTCTGCCTACTGTTTATGATACCTAGGTTGTTTCTACATTAGAGCTGTAAGGAGGACGCTATGAATATTCTCCTACAAGTCTTTTGGTAAACGTGTGTGTGGTTTTATGACTCAGTAGAATTATTGGGTCATAGACTAGTGTCCTGCAAACAGGTGAACCCAGACACACTTTCTAAGACATGAACAAATGTGACACGTGTAAACTGAATATGGACCCTATTCAGCAGATAAAAGAATCTAGAAACTACCCAGGAAAAAAAAAAGGAAGGAACAGGAAAAAGAACGCATGAGCAGGCAGCTTGCAGAGAGGCCAGCAACAACAGAAAAACTAAAATATATGTCTCCTCTGGGCACACAGCTCAGACAGGGTGAAATCTACCACCCCTACACACTCGCACCCCACCTGCAATCTGAGCCCCTGCCCTTAAGGACCTCTGAAGCCTATACAACACACACACACACACACACACACACACACACACACACACACACACGGTCTTGATCAGGCTGAGCACCTCACCTCACCCAGCCCCTCGTGGACATTTCTTCCCAGCCCAGCCGTTCCTATGGCTTCTCCCAAGTTTGTCTGAGCATGAGCCCAAAACTTAACCCAAGTCTTCTGGATAAGTTGAATAGCCCTCAGAGCGGTGGGGTCCTAAATGAAGGCTGATCCCGAACGGCACAGGCTTTAGGTAGGGCAAGAGTCCGTGGGGCGTTCAGGGGTTCACTTACCTCAGCGCCTCAAAAAACTAACACACGAGCAGGATGCCAGCTTCTTAACCCCAACTGGAAGGCCGGGCTCTAGAAGAAAAGGAAACTGCGTGGTTTCCGTGGCAACCAGTGACGCGTCTCCAAGGTAAAGGGGGCGGGTTCTGCCTCTCGAAGCATCACGGGTAGGAGACTGCGCAGGCGCCAATTTTGCTGTCTGGTTGGCCCACAACCAGGAATACGGTTAGCGAGCCGCAGGAGTAGATGCTCGAAAGCCTCAACCAGCCACGAAAACGCGGGACCCCCAGCGGACGGCGCTCCTGGGACCGCCCTGAGCAGCGTACAGTGGGGTCGGTTGGGTGGGAGTCTCGGATCCTCGCAGCCGCGGGCGGGTCCGGAACCCGCGCCCCGCGGACTCCGCTCTGCAGGTGGAGGAGGTGCCAGAGATTGCTGGGGTTGCCGTGGTCGCGAGCGGGTAAGAAGGAGCGCGGGTACTCGATACGCTCAGTGTGGTGTCTGGCACCGGTGTCTGAGGAGGAAAAACTGATAGATCTTCAAGCAGATACCAGCACAAGGCTTGGAATTTACCGAAAGACTAAGCTTAGAGCTAGAGCTTTTCCTGAGAGTAAAAACACGCAAAGTGTATTTCAGTTTTAAGTGATCTTGAGATTCTCCTGGTTTGGAATAAAGTTAAGCTTTCTTAACTCCAGCCATTCTCTACGAGCTTCTTGACTCTCAGCGTATCCGTGCACCACCTGTAAATTTATTTTGCTGTTTTTCTTCAAAGACATTCATTTTACATGTAACGTATTTATTTTGAACGGAGACTGCACCAGTACCAGAAATGGAAAATTAGTATCACATGTGTGATAGAAGTCACCGTAAACATAAATAAAATTAGACAAAGCAGCGTAAAAGTTACGGTTTGAACGAGATAAATATTAATTTTAAAAATTAAATTGTTCAACAATTTACAACTGAAAGCAAGTTCCTCAGTAAGATGAATGAGCCTGTTGATGATAAATAGATGTTAAAGGTCACTTGATTTTTTAGCTTTAGTGTTTATCTTTAGGAATCTCAACTCACTAGTAAACGTATTGACAAAGGTTAAAAGATATAATTACTGCCCCCAAAGTAGTGATTTTTCTCCAGCGCAGAGTAAAGTAGTATAATCCGCCGTGGACCCAGGAAGGACAGGAGAACCGGAAAGGTGAACCCGAGAAGTCTCTAGCACAAAGGCCTTTCATTACCTGGCCTCACCTCTGCACCCGGAAACTGAGAGTTAAATCCGGGGAACCACATCTATCGTTCATTGAAGTCACATTGAGTCTCCTCTGGAGTGTGTGTAAGGCCTTTTCTGTGAGGGCCTCTACCTGTGTGGAACCAGAATGGGCAGGTGTGGGGAGATAAGCTTCTTGCAAACACCCCAGAAGTCCCTCTGAGTCCCCTGGGAGATGGAAAATATGGGAGAAAAACTAAGCAAGAGAGATGGCTCCAGGAGACTCAATAATTGCCAAGTAGGACTTCTAGAAGGAAAGAAAAATAGCAATGCAACAATGAATGACAACAAAACTGGCAGAACCACGGTAGTGTGGGGACCTAATCTGAAAGCTGAAGTCTTTAGTTTGAAAAACGCATCTGAAATAACACACACCCTTTATATATACCTACGCCTATCCTGGTGGAATTCCTTAATTCAAAGAGTAAAAGGGGGGAATGAAGTGGTTGTTAGAAATGATGCTAGAATAATATCTTCAAAATTCTAGAGAAAATTGTTTCAAATTTGAGAGTGGATAACCAGTCAAAACATGTCTTGTATGAGCACAAAATAAAGATTTTGAGGATAGGCTGGTACTCAAACAGTTGGCCATATGCTCTTTGAAAAAAAAATTACTAAAAGAAAAAAAGTACAAATCCTAGAAAAAGGAGAACATTTGATACAAGAAACAGTGGAGCTGGGTGTGGTGGCATACGCCTGTGATCCCAGCACTCAGGAAGCTGAGGCAGAAGGATCGCTTCAAGTTTGAGGCCAGCCTTAACTACATAGTGAGACCCTGTCTCAAAAAAAAAAAAGAAATGAAGGAGAGAGAAATGAACAGTGGAACCTATTCAAATGTATGATGAAAAGAAATCTCAGTATAATAGCTGTGTAACTGGAAAGCACACAAGACTATGTTAATGGTGTGTGCATTTCCTGCACTATACTTCCTACTGTTATTGTAGAGTGTATTCCTATATATATATATATAAAGTTTACTGTAGAGCAGCATGCCATGTTATGCTGGCAGCAGTCTTATGCATTCATGTTTACCGAGTCTCCTGATTATATCATTCCATATATTTCATGTGTCACATAGTTTAGGTGTATAATAGGCAATACTATCTAGGTTTGTGGAAGTACACTCTAGGATGGTCACACAACAACAGAATCACCTAACAAATTTCCTAGAATGTGTGCTCATCATTAAGCAACATAGGGTTATAGGTTAAGTAGGGGTAATCATAGTATTAGTAGAATAGCAGTGAATATTTATGAATTAATACATTTAAAGTACTTACAACTAAACCTGACATAGCTAATAAAAATTACTAACATCTATAATTCCAAGTTTAAAGCTTATAATTGTTAAATAGCTTTGTTGTTCTTATGTGTTATACATTTGAGTTTGTATAAAAATAAGCTTATTCATGACTATAGAGGAAAAAGAAAACAGCCTGTTGCTAGACACAGGTGCAAGTCTCTCAGTCCTTCTTTTCAGTCCTGGCCTCCCTTCCAGCCATCACACCTCAGTGAAAGGAGACACTGGTGAGGAGGTAATATGCTATTTTTCACAACCCTTAGGCTGTAACTATTTGTAAGATCTTTCTTGCGTATCTCTGTCTTCCTGAGAAACCACTTTGAAGATACCACCATGTATTACAGCAGCCATTGATATTTTCCTACTAATCTGTCCATAACTCTGTAATGTTTGTATTGTTCCTATGCTATTTCATAAATGGATGTATGTATATTACTATGTGTTTCCTACAACAACCATTGATAATAGTCAATGAATATTCAATTGGTCACTTATATATAGCTCTATTTATTTTCTTTAGAAACCATTTTGAAGATACCAAAGTATAGTACAACAACCATTGATAATCTCCTACTTTTGTCTGTAGCTCACTATTATCTGTCTATTTGTTTTCCTGAGAAACTATCTTGCAGATAACAATATGTAAAACAACAACCATTGATAATTTCCTACTACTTTGTCTGTAATTCGGTAAGCCTCCCTATTACTATGTTATCCTTCTTTTACTCTTTAAAATAATAATAAAAAAATAAGCTTGTATCAACCACATCTCTTTTACATGTTGAGGCTCTGTGCAGGAAATCAACTAAAAAGAAAAATCCAGTCATTCAATGGAGTTACGTTATTCACGTGATGCCCAGTTCCACTAACTGACCTAGTCAATGGGCTGTTTTGACCCGTAACTTGAACCTTAGGAGACCTGAAGTCTAGTCCTGGCTCTGAACCACACTGCTTGTGTGACCTTGGACATGACCGTTTACTATTTTGTCTCCCTCTCTTCCTCTGCAAATTGACAGGTTTAAACTACATGATTTCTAAGACTTGCTTTCCTATTTTATTTTATAATTTGATACTGGGAATTAAACCCAGGGCCTCCATACCGGGCTACATCTCTAGACTTTTTAAATTTTTTTTTTTATTATGAAACAGGATCTCACTAAGTTGCCCAGGCTGGCTCAAATTTAAGATCCTCCTGCCTCAGCCTCCAGAGTGCTAGATTACAGGCACGTGATACTATGCCTGGTTGATTATTTGGATTCCATTTTTCTTTTTTCTCTTAGAGTACAAAGGAGTTTCTTCTAAAAGAAACAAGTAACTTCTCATTATGAACCATACCAGTTGTGAAAGTTACTATAGAATCTTTGGAAGTCTGAGCCACGTGGATTTGTTCTTGCATTTCTCAAACTTAAGCCTGAGTCAGATGTACCTGGCGGGGACTTAGTAAATACAGGTTGCTGGGCCCACCTCCACAGTTTCTGATTCAGTAGGGAGAGGTGGTCCAGGAATCTGCATTTCTAACAAATTCCCAGATGACACTGAGCTGCTTTTATGTTTTGGTTTGTTTTTGCACCATGGCAGCTCCACATTTTGTGGTCTTCAGCAGATTAATAAATATTCCTGCCAGTGTGGTGGCGCATGCCTGTAATCCCAGCACTCGGGAGGCTGAGGCAGGAGGACTGTTGCAAGTTCAAGGCCAGCCTGGGCTACAAAGTGAGTTCAAGACCAGCCTGTACTGCATAGTGAGATTCTGTGTCAAAAAGACAAAAAGAAAAATTCCTGTTGGCATACTTGAACTCCTAAGCAATCATCTCCGACACTCAAAGGGCAAAATAAGAAACTGGCATTATTTTCTCTGTCCTTTATAGCGTCCGGATCACTGAGGTGATTGTAATTATCTAATGGAAACCAAAAGGCAGAAAAACTTGCTTTCCAAAATGTTCACTAAACATCTCTCAACTTTGCTAACTTTCTTCCCTAAGTCAGAAATGTAGGAACTAGCCCTTTGCGGTCCAGTTTCCTCAACAGACCAATCAACGCTTAACTTCATCATTGGGACACCTATGATTAATATTTTAATTGAAGAACAATAGTTATTATCTTCATCCTTTCAGACTGTCATAGTGAAATACATAAACAAAGTAAACAGGATTTTTTCAAAATCAGTGATTCCACCTTCACAGGGAACTATATAGTACATAATTAGTATATATTACATTCACTGAAAATTGCTTTAAAGATCTATTTAGCTAATGATGAGAAGAGTACATCATATTAAGCAGGCACTGCTTAATCTTTTTAAAATTGAGTAATCTTTTTAAAATTGAGTCCTAAAATTAGAAATACATGGTTAAACTGGGTTGTTTTCTAATAAAATATCAGATCGTCCAAGAAAAGTCGATTTTCAGGTCTTTTGCTTCCCTTAGAGGGCATTTTTTTCCATATACAGCAGTCCACACTGTGGCAGGATATATGTGAGTATAAAGTTGTCTTTGTTCTTCATGATGAAATTATCAGACAATCAGAAGATCTGAAGGTCTAGTTTCCAGGAGGCGGAGATGGTAATGGATACTGGTGCTCGCCAGGCCTTCTGCAAGTTTCAACAATGATCTGACCCTTGAGTTGTGAGCAGTACTTTAAAATTAGTATTGCATAGTAAAAGTTACGTGCTAATTACTGTTAGTCACCTTAAGTGTTAATTACAGACTTACATAAATCATAGCTATTTTTTAATGTTCTACTTAAAAGTACAGCTCAGGGTGCTAAACATATGTTTATTATTCGTAAATTCCTATCTACCAGCATGTATTTGGGGGAAACAGTCTGATTGGGCCAAATCCTAGAAAATGTATATGTAAATTTATTCTTCTTGTCGTATTTGGCACAACCAAGTGTGTCCTGATAGTTTTAATGGTGTGTGCTATAGAATCTTGGCAGACTCCACCCAGCATCCTCAGAATGCAGGCAGCACCCCAACAGTCTGCATCAGAAGCCCCCAGAAGGTGCTGGCTGCAGGATGGCTTCCCAGACCCCACGGCAAACCTGCTGAATCAGAGCTGAGACACGAGGACCCTGGCACCTGCAGCAGTGCTGGCTCTC